ATGTTTATCCTGTCTACCGTTATAAACAATAAAAAACCAGTATTCCAGGGCAGGCCCAGAGGGCATTTCCACTTAGAGCTCTGCTCCTGGACTTTAATGTGTTTACAGATCACCTAGGTTTTGGTTAAAACGCAGGTCTGGATATGGTAGATGTGAGGTGCAGAATGGGACCCTGCATTTCTAAACGTTGCCAAGGTAACGCTGTTGCTGCTGGTCCAAGACCACACTTTGAAGGGCAATAGCCTAGACGACCAGGTGGAGCTCAGCTGTTTTTCCCCACAACCGAGCTTCACAGATGAGCTACTTGAGACCCAAACGCATCATCAGTCCGCAAAGACACTGGGGCCAGAGGTTTAGCGTTACGGTTTATTGGAGGAAAGTGGAGCCATTGCCATCTTAGTGACCACATTTTGTCTGAGGACATTCTTCAGTGCCCACTTCACATCTTTGTTCCGAAGACTGTGGATTAATGGGTCAAGCACTGGGTTTACAAAGGTGTAGAAGATGGTCTGATTTTACATGGTTTTTTTTCTTGTCTTTTTTTTTCAAACAGTCTCTTCTTAAAATCCAGAGCAATATCCTCTCTCATGAACACTGACGTCTTGAGTAGGGTCTGCCGTGAACAGGATTATGAAACAGACAGGGTCTTTGGCAAACACTTTGGTGAGCACTTGCTATATGTGAACAACTTTCATCAAGGTAATTTAATTGAGTCCTCAAAATAACCTTAAGAGGTAGGGACTCTATCTAGAACTTTCAGCCAAATAAACACTATAAGTGACTAAATAAATGGCTCCATTAAAAGAATTCACCCAGTGCCTCGTAGCTAGTAAGTGGCAGGATAGGATTTGAATTCCTGCCTTCACGTACTAAGTTGACTACTTTATCAATTGTACGTGGTTGCCGTTCCTCAAGCTGTTTATCCTTCTGTTACCAGGACACCCCGGTGGGGCTCGGGCTGCCGTCGCTGTGTCCAATTCAGGAGGCAGGGGTGAATCCTATATCGCTGTGTCCAATTCAGGAGGCAGGGGTGAATCCTATATCGCTGTGTCCAATTCAGGAGGCAGGGGTGAGTCCTGAAAGGCGTTTACTGAGAAGGCCACCGACCTAGAAGACGGGGCATGCGAGCATCCAAAACCTGTCTCAGGAGTGGCCTGAGGGACAGGGCTGGATGGGGCAGACGGGGGCTGGGACCGGAATGCAGCTACATGCGGTCCTGGAGGTCATTCTTTTGATCTTGGTCGCCTGGGGATGTCTCAATATGATGATATCTTGAGTCCTGGTTGGATCGGCCTGACCACGCCGGTTCAATGACACATTGGCCACAGCTGCGTCGCCCCCTTAATTGCTTTGTCCAGAGTCAAGGGGAGTACAGGGCGTAAAGGCCCAGGAGAAAGACACTTAAGGAAAAAGAAACTTAAACCCCTGTTCACATGAGTATATGTGATCTACAATTTTATAAATGATATAATTATATTTCAAGTTAATTCAGGTGCTCGATCTTTGGACATTATAAGTGCCCCTATCACTCCCTTCCCTCGTCATTTTTAAATATTCCCTTAGATTCCCCCCAGCAGTGCTTTCCTTCTCACCAGGACCAAGCTGCTTTGGGCAGTAGGAAGGGCCCCGGCTGAATTCTTCTTCGAGGATGCAGCATGCGGCGTGTGCTTAATGCAGTGAATACAAACAGAGTCTTGCTTACCCCCTCCCAGGTAGCTTTGCATTTTATTGAGTCCATTTCCTTACCTCTCAAAATGTAAGAAGATGAATGGGATGAGCAATATGTTTAAGAAACCACAGCAAAGAAAACAGAATGCGGGTAATTATTGAAGGTAGTGAGCATGGAGTGCTTAACACACACCGGGCGTTAGGCTTAGTTGGCACTTTGCAAGCATTCGCTCAGTTAATCCTCACGCAGCAACATGGGTCGTTAGAATTATTATTTTTCTTTTAAAGATGGGAATTGTGCATGTCTCAGGAGGAAATGCCAAAGATGACCAGAAGGGTGCCATGACATGGATGGGTGTGCAAGTTGCCCAGCAGGAAATGTGCCACCTGCAGTGCCTGAAGAGTAAAACAGCACCGCAACACCTCGCTGCTGCTGTTTCCCCTGTGAACTCTTTTTTTTAATTTTCTTTTTTTTATTTAAAAAAAAAAGTTTTCATGTTGACATAATTGCAGGAGTTCCCATCCTCCCCCTTTGCCTGCTTCCATCTTCCCCTTCCTCCCCCTCTTGGTCTTTACCGAATTATTGTCCATGTCCATGGAGTATGTATATATATTCTTTAGCTATTCTTTTTTTTCTTTAAACATGTCTTTATTGATTCAGAGAGAGGAAGGGAGAGGGAGAGAGAGAGATAGGAACATCAATGATGAGAGGGTCATTGATCGGCTGCCTCCTGCACGCCCCCTACTGGGGATGGAGCCTGCAACCCGGGCATGTGCCCTGAGCAGGATTTGAACCTTGATCTCCTGGATCCTAGGCCGATGCTCAACCGCTGAGCCATGCTCGCCGGGCTCCTTTAGCTATTCTCAAATCAGGAGATGGCACCTTCCAGCTTGGGAATTGGCCCAGTTTGGGTAGGAAAGGCAGAATAATCGAGATACTCAGAAACAATAACACTTTGGAAAATAGGTTAAATGACAGTTAAGGAATATTTGTGAGAGTGACTACCAAAATAAGAGGGTAAATAGAGGACTAAATAGAGACTATAAATATTTTTATTTTTCATTCTCGCAGGCAACACTACAACCATGAGGATGATTTCACGTGCCTTCTGAAGAAGTGATGGAAATAGACTCTGGAGAGAATATAGGTACTTCTATTCATTTTAAAGGTATCTGCTGTCATAGATCCTTTAAGAAAATACTCTAATGTTTCAATCTTCCAGATAAGGGTTGGTAAACCCTTTATTCTTATAAAGTAGTTTGTAGTGATGACGGGATTGATAAATTGGCCCTAGAATAAAGAACCCAGAAATAGACTGATACATAAATAAAAACTTGATACATGACAGAGTTTACACTACAAATTTAATGGAAAAATATGAAGTATTCAAAACCTAGAAAATCGTTTTTATTAAAAATAGGATTAGAGTCCGTTTTGCAATATTTAAGATAGAAGGAAAAGCAAAACTTTAAAAAATTAAAGAATAGAAGACTATCTCTATAATAGGAAAGCATTGTTTAGACCAGACGCTCAAAACACAAGCATAAAAAAGATCAGTAAATCTGAACTACATTAAAATGAAAAACTTCTGGGCTGCCAGATACAAACATGCACAAACATAAAATTCAAACTACAAACAGGTTGAAGATATTTGCATTGCATAGATCATTAAAAGATTAGTACCTAGTACAGAATACATAAGGAGTTATTACAAATGTAGAAAATAAAGATAAAATAACCCAGCTCAAAAGTGAACAAGAATATGGACATACAACTTTAAAAAAAAGAAAAAATATTCAATTAGCATCAAGCATTTAAAAATACTTAACTTCTCTTGTAATCATAATTCAAAACCTTGAACAAGAATACAGTTTGTACCATCAAACTGGAAAATATTTTAAAAGGCTGACAATATATTGTGTGGCAAGCGTGTGGAGTAAAAGGCACCCTCACACAGTATTGGCAGGGGTGTAATTCGATAAAACAATTTGGCTACATCTAGTAAATTTATAGATGCTCGTGACTTAGAAATTATCATCTTAGGTACATACATGAGATTAACCCTTGAACTGTAATACATTCAGAATTTCACAAGAAAATTTATTGCTAGATTTTCATATTATCATGAAATAGAAAAATGTAATTGTCCATCAATAGTAGAGTAGATACTTATATTGTGACAAATTTATATATTGACATAGAGTACAGGCAAAGTAGGTTTACAGTTGTTCAGATGGAGAAAGACATGTAGGTTATGACTATTACAATAGCTTTATTAACTCTGTGTTTCATGTACTCACAACTGTAAACCTACTTTGGCCCCTACTTGGAAAATGCTGATGACTCAGCACAGATAAGCCTAATGCATGACTCAGCACGGATAACCCTAACAATGTGCAGTGAAAAATAAAATAAATTGCAGAAGAATACATAGAGTGATTTTATTTATATCAAGTTTCAAATCTAGAAAATAACATAATTCTGTGTATGAACAAATGACAAAACTTCACATAAGAATAAGAAGCATTAAATTCATATTAGAGTTTAATGTAACAAATGAGAAGAACAGAATCAGATAATGTAGACTCAATTTTAAAAGTATCTGCATCTCAAATATTTGAAACAGAAGAGGCAGCGTGTGAAGACTTAATCATGATCAGTTAGGCTCACACAGGTGGTCTTTCTATTATTATTATTTTTTTTACTGTATGTTGGAAATAGAACATAATAAAAAATTAACAAGTAAAACCACAAAACCAGTTTTCAGATGGGGATGCATGTAGGTAAAAAAATAAATAAAATAAAATTATAAAAATAAAATACCTTCTAAAGAAAATGTGGCGTTTTCATCTTAGAGGAAGAATTTCAGATACCCAGTGATCTTCGTTTCTATATGATTTGTATAAAGGGAAGAAGAAAACAAAACTCGTCTGCCATGGTTAAGAAGTTTCTGGAAAATAGTTTCAAAATTATTGAACACTATAAAAATTTAACAGATGGTCATTGCCGTAGCATCATTTGCTAATTCTGCCTCTTATAACTTTGTATCAGTATGAGTATCATGGATGGGATCATCTGTTCTTTATCGACTTTAAAGAGCAATCATAGTGCCTTCTGGTCTTTGAACTTCTATGCACATTTGTTTTTTTAAATTCACTGACATGATACTATAAACTCTAGCAAGTAATTTCAAGCCTTCTTCCAAGTTTCAGATGCTAATTATGGGATACAAAACATAGTAAGGGACAGAAAATGATTAGCTAATTGGAAGTGCTCACTGATTGGTCAGATAATAAGGCTAGAGGGCACACCTGTGACCAACAGGTCTGCTTTATTTAGCAAACAGTTTCTTTCGGGTAACTTTCCTGATTGCTTCTTTCACATCTTTGTTCCTCAGACTGTAGATCAAAGGATTTAACATAGGACTCATGAAGATATAGAACACAGCTACCACTTTCCCCTGCTCTACAGACGCCTCCGAAGGGGGCCTCAGATACATGCAAAACAGCGTCCCGTAGAAGACAGTGACAGCTGTCAGATGGGCCCCGCAGGTGGAGAAGGCCTTGCGCCTCCCCTCAGCGGAGCGGATGCGCAGAATGGCTGTGAAGATGAACACGTAGGAGACGAAAATCATGGCGAGGGAGCAGGTGAGGTTGGACCCGGCCACCACGAACATGGCAGTTTCTTTTACATGAGTGTCCGAGCAGGCCAGGACCAAGAGGGGAGGGTCTGCGCAGTAGAAGTGGTTGATTTCATTGGGGCCGCAGAAGGAGAGCCGAAGCATCAGGATGGTCTGCCCCAGGCCATTTGCAAAGCCGTACGTGTAAGGAATCACAACGAGCGAGATGCAGACACGTCTGGACATCTTGCTAGCATAGAGCAGGGGTTTGCAGATGGCCATGTAGCGGTCGTAAGCCATCACTGTGAGCAAATAATAATCTGTGATCACCAAGGCAATGAAAAAGTGGAACTGTAGGAAGCAACCAATGACCGAAATGGTTTTTCTCTTGGATAAGAAATTAACCAGCATCTGAGGAGTGACGTTGGTGGCATAGCAGAGATCTACGAAGGAGAGGTGGCTGAGGAAGAAATACATCGGGGTGTGAAGCTTTGAGTAGCTCCTGATCAACAAGATCATGCTCACGTTGCCGGTCACCGTGATCAGGTAGATGACCAGGAACACCACGAAAAGGACAGACTGGAGCTCCGCTCTGTCCGTCAGTCCCAGCAGAATAAACTCGGTCACCGCTGAGTAGTTCTTCCTTGACATTGCGTTTGCGTGGCTTCAGGTGAGGTCTAAATAAAGGAAATGGAGATTCATGTCTATTGTCATCCATTCATTCCCCCCATCGTGCCACCTGATACTTCCTCCCCTTCTCTCAAACCTGTGGCATAAAGAAGTAGCCTAGTAAGCATGCGATTGATCTTTTGAATATCTAAATTAACACAGAGCACTTCTATAGAAAGGAAATCTTATTGTTAAATGCTTTTCTGCATGCCTAGACATATTTGAAAATCCTTTCTCTTTTCTGTAAGTCTTTATCACATTTATTCACTTACATTTTTCTTAAACGATATTTTTAAGCATTGCTTTTCTTGGAAATTTTAATTCCATTTTTTTCCCAAGTTACCTTCTTCTGTAGTATCTAAAGCATCGTTATTGAAACTCATCTGCTTTCCACAGCTGAATGGCCTTAGGGAAGTAGAACTGATGTATCGCACACATTTTTATAGAATGAGAATCTGTCCACCTGCCCCTCTAAACTCAAGTTTGTTTTCAAGTTGTGCTCACCCTGCCATGCACGTCCATTTTCCTCTAATTCCTAGTGAGGCTGGAGCAAGTTATTTATCTCTCTGAGCCCATGAATCCTCAGGTAGAAAATTTGGTTTACTAATAGCAACTTTCTCCATGTCAGAGAGCTCATCAAGGTAAAACTTTAAAAATATGTCTGACATATAGTAAGCACTTAATATGTTATAGCTCTATAATTTTGGGTGAAAAAATCCAGATCCGCTCTAAAACAAGATTCAATATTAAAGTGTGAGCTCCTTAGAACAAGGGCTTTATCTATTCTGTAGCTATAGCCTCAGTGGCACCTAGACCAGTGCTTTCCCAAATGGAGGCAATCAATGATTACTGATGGAATAAATGTTCTCTTTGGTCTAGTTATCTTCTCATTGTAAGTAATATTCCAGTGTACATTTAAAATACTTGTATTCTGAGGATAGTACGATAAAGTAGAATTTAATTCAAGACAACTACTAATTCTTCAGAATATGTTTCAGCTCATAATTTATTTTATTGAATAAAATATTTCTAGGTTCCAAAATATATTTTACAATAGCTAATCTTACCTGTGAAAGAAGAGTGATTTCCCAATGACAGCATGGACATAAAGAACCTGAAGCGTTTATAACAGAATTGTTATAAAGGGACCAAATCCCTATGGCTCAATTATTTCTAGCAGAAAGTCATTCAGACTATAAACAATCACTGTGGTTTTATTTCTTTGAACACCCTAAGCTCATTGAGGACATAATTTTTTCCCACTCTCCGATATCATCAGAGAATCAAATCTCCCAAAACATGAAGTGATAGGATTCATTATTTATTTTAATTTATGCCTGAGTGTTAATATTTTTTGACTTGGGGGAAATATTAAGTTCTCTTGTCTACAAAAGGTAACATAAAATAGTGTTTAGTATAGCAGAAAAGTTTTGGAGTCTGGAAAACCACTGGAAGATCAACTAACTTTTTGTTGACCTTGTCATTTACTGATTCTGAGCCTTGTGATTTACCTTCTTAATAGAAAAATAATAAATAGCCCCAGGAACATTGTGGATACATAGGTAATATAGTTATGTTCCAAGCAAATTTCTGATGTATGTCAGGGAAGGAGGTGGACAGGGACTTTCTTCCTGGTTCTAGTTCTCACTGGGTTCTGGTAACAATTGTCATTGCCTGGCCAATACAGAACTAGAAGTAGAAATATATCATAAATAAAGTCACATAAGAAATAATAATCTCAGAAGTAATAAAATATATGAGAAAAAATAAATCATGGTTCATGATTAAAGGCTATTTGGAATGGAGCTAATTTAGACAAGTGGCCAGACAGTGTTTTTCAAAGTAGTTGTTATTATGAGAGAGATCTAAATGAAGTGGTAAAATGGGACACCTAAAGGTCTGTGGAAGAAACATTTTAGGCAGAAGGAACAGCATGTGCAAAGGCCCTGAGGTAAGGGCATTCTCAAAATGTTCAAGAAACATCTACAAGGTCAATGTGGTAGGAAAAGAAGGACTGAAGAGAAAGTGGTTGAAGACTTTGGAGAGAGGAGATAGGAAGTTGTCGCATAAGATCTTGTAGACTCTGGTAAGAGGTTTAAATTTTAGCACAAGTATGATGGAAATTCTTGGACTATTTTACCAAGTCAGTAACGTGATGTGATTATGTTTATAAAAGATCATTGGCTTGTGTTGGAAGATAGAGGATTTCAGCTGTGGAAGAAGGAAATTCATTGTAGTGTAAGAGGTAAGATGTGAGATATAATATTGTCTTAGACCTTATTGGTAGCAAAGGAAATGCTGACAAGCTCTTGTAAGATTCAATATTTAATATTTGAAAGTAGAGCAGATAAGACTTCTTGATGGTTAAATATAAAGTATGAAATCAAGGATATGAGATAAATTAAAATATGAATATGAAATATATATAAATGAAAGATGAAATCAATTGGTATAAAAAGAGATTACTGAGATCAAAGGGTATATTAGGTGAATAAATATTCCTTTGTAATTATGTAACACTGTGACCATATGAACTTAAAAAGACAGCTGTTGATTTGGAACAAAGGAGATGGGATGGACAGAACACCAAGGGGCTGGGAGAGGTTGGTTGCTGTTGGAGACTAAGTGATCAATGAGGAAAACACTGAACCTGAATAAATACACAACAGGCTCTGTAACGGTAGAATCTACCAAACGAAGCGTCGCCTACCTAGAAGCTTCTAATATGCATCCTCTGAGATAAATTTGAAAGAAAAATAATGAAGATGGAATTTCTTTAATAGAAGTTAACACATTTTAAATCTATATTATTTGCAATAATTTGATTTACAAAATATATATAGATTACTCAAAGGAATAGAAAAATTAGTCCAGAAGTAGATTTATTTCGTCTACAATGAAGATAACAAATCAATCGGTAAACGAAGAGCTACTTAATAAGCAGTAGAAAGAAATGGGCTAAAAATGTGATGTTAAAAAGTTACAAACAACATTACAATATACAACAAAATTGTACATAGAATAATTTAAGATAGTCCTACAAAATATGCTGAAAAATTAGTAACATAATATAGATGCTTGTTTAGTTAAATTGAGGATTGAGAAAAACTACAAAGCAAAAAAATTGATAAACATTTTCTAAATAAAAGTGTAAATATTTTTATGTGCAGAATCATCTGAAGTAACATGAAAGGCTCTCATAAAACATATTATTTTCTTTATTTTCAAATATACATTTCAAAAATTCTCCTGTCAAAATAAAACAGGATTCTTTCTGAAGAATTTCAGTTGAGACAACAAAGGAGCAGATAATCTTAAATGATGGCGTAGTTAAATGGTTATTTTCAAATATTACTAGTCATAGGTATAAATTGTTAGAAACTCTCTGGAGAAAATTTTACCCATAGGAAAATTTAGCAAGAGCTTTGAAAATGTACAAAATATTCAACTCAGCAATTACACTCCTTGGAATCTATCCTAAAGGAACTATCAGAGAGATATGTACGTAGATTGTAGTCAGTCTTAAAAATAATAGGATACGTCAACATGTTGGAATAGTACTTCTCAAGATAAACCAATTGGAAAAAATACAGCAAAATGTTGAGAGACGCTCTCTCTAAGTAGGAAATTACAAGTAAATTTTGCTTTCATTTCTTAAACCTTTGGTATTTTTCAGTTAGATTTTCTACAATTGATATGTATTATTTTTATAATTAAGCTCAATGTGAATTAATTATTAAGTATTACACTACATTTAAAATGGTCTTCATCAAAATATTTAGTCTGTATGAAATGCAAACAATATACTGTCAAGTGAAAATCAATGTTCATACATGTATATGGCAAATGATTCCAATTTTGTTTTATTAATTATTGAGAAGTACAAAAAAAGCAAACAACTTATCCATTGATCAATGTTGCTTCTTTTTTCCTGTCTATATTTTCTAGTTATCTATAATAAACCCTTGTGCTTTTACAATTTGGACAATCTATTCATAAAATGCTATCTAAATAGGTCTGCCATATAGCAAAATCGCCTGCTTTAATTTACATCCTACTTATATTGCACACAAATTATCATGTTTACCTGAAATATCAGAGGCATTAGTTCCATTACTGCCATCATAATCACCATGATTTCACGTATAGCTCACTGTCCCCAACATGCCATCCAGCATTTGCAGCGTGTTGAGAAGTTTAACCACTGCAGTGTGTGTTGGAAAGAGAGAGAAGGGGGAACCAAGGGATTCACCCGTGTGCTCCTCAGTCACTCCGCTGGGGGACTTTGGGGTGGTCATTTAATCTCTCTGTGCCTAAAACTCCAAGTGTCATAAATGAAGATAATTTCCTACTAGCTCATTTGTGAATATTCAAATGTAGTAATATAAAAATGAGCATTTAAAATAGGATGTCACATATTATTTTTACACATGCTAATTGATGTTCTCTCTATCTCTAAAGAAATTTTGAGGTGGCTTTCTTCAGATCTATTTCCAGAAGTGGAATCACTGAAGGGGTTTGGGGGGCTGGGGCTGGGTGAAAAAGGTGAAGGGATTAAATAAACAAACAAAAACCCCAAAACTCAGACACAGACAACAGTCTAGTGATTCCCAGAGGGAAAGAAGAGCGGAGGGAGGTAGAAGAGGGCACAGGAGGGATAAATGGTGACTGAAGGAGACTTGACTTTGAGTGGTGAACACACAATATAATATACAGATGATGTGTTATAGAATTGTACCCCCGAAAACTGCATAGTTTTAGTAACCAATGTCACCCCCAATAAATTCCATAAAAATTAAAATAAAGAAATTGGAACGGGGAACTCTATTACATTTAGAATCCCTCTCTTAATCACTTGCAGGTTCTAATCACTATTTTATCACAGACACTGCCAATTTCAAATCAACTGATGCCTCAACCGCATTTTTATGGGAGAGATTCCCTTTGACCAGTTGCTGCATGGCGTGGATCACATGCTTGTTCCTCAGACTGTAGACCAACGGGTTCAGCATTGGGCTCAAGAAAGTATAAAAGACGGCAAGGACTTTGGACTCCTCGATGAACCTCTCGGATGGGTCCTTCAAGTACATGCAGAAGAGGGTCCCATAAAAGATAGTGACCGTTGTCAGGTGGGAGCCGCAAGTAGAGAAGGCTTTGCGCCTGCCCTGGGCAGAGCGGATCCTCAAGACGGCTGCAAGAATGGAAAGGTAGGACAGGAGAATGAGGAGGAGGGAGCTCGAGAGGGTAAACCCGGCCACCGCAAGCATGGCCACCTTCTTGACGTGGGCGTCGGAGCAAGCGAGCATGATAAGAGGGGGGTCGGCACAGTAGAAGTGATTGATTTCACGGGAGCCACAGAAGGACAAGCGAAAGGTCAGCAGCGCCTGAGACAGTCCATTGAGGAAGCCAAAAGCGTAAGAGAGGGCGACCAGAGAGACGCAAATGTCCTTGGCCATCCTGGTGCTGTAGTGCAACGGGCTGCAGATGGCTGCGTGGCGATCCAGGGCCATGGAAGCGAGGAGGTAAAACTCAGTGATCACCAGCGCGATGAAGAGGAGGCACTGCGAGAAGCACCCAGCGTGGGAGACGGCCTTGTGGCCCGACAGCAAACTGTGCAGCATATTTGGGGTGACGTTGGAGGAGTAGCAAATGTCGACAAAGGAGAGATGGCTAAGGAAGAAGTACATGGGAGTTTGGAGGTGGGGGCTGGTCCTGATCAGCACGATCATGCCCAGATTCCCTGCCAGTGTTATTAGGTAGATCACCAGAAACACCCCGAACAGGATCTTCTCTAGTGCTGGGTCGTCCGTGAGTCCCAAGAGAATGAATTCTGTCACCGTCGTGTGGTTTGGGGAAGACATTTTCTTATGCCTTGAAAACTGAAAGTGACAAAGGAAAGTGAAGAATTCTGTAGGATCCAGGTTCTGCATTTATCTCATCCATTTTATCATTTATCCCATCGGTTTTATCACTTACCCTTTGATTGGCTCGTCTACGAGGAACTTACTCTCCTCTTTTCAATAACACATCAGAATTTCTACACAAATATTCTCCCCTGAATCTCCATGTTTTCTCTCTTTCTCTCTATATCTCAAACTCTTTTTATTTCATACACACACACACACACACACATTTTTACCTATCTTCTTAGTGAAGTCCATTTTTGAGTACTGTTTTTCAAATTTTGTGGGGGGAAAAAAGCACAGGAATTAAAATCAGATATAAAAAGCAGCAGATCACTGGCATCATTCAAATGGAAAAATGAATAAAGTTGGATTTCTAGGGTTCATGGAGATCTGATATCCTATTTTTTCAGACACAAAATAGAAAAATGGAAAACAAATATTCAGGACAGCATTTTCACTTGAAATCTCTAGTTGTTTGACTTAATTGTCTTTGGAAAACATTGAATTAACAGATTGATCTCTTAAATCACCTGTTTATTCACTTGCACTACAAAGATTGATTGTTTTCTGTTCTAGGTTTCGGGGTTACAGCAGTGACCAAATGCCCCATCCTCATGAAGCAGATATTGAAGGAGATAGCTTCTCTAAACTATATAGCATGATGCCACTTAGGAGCAAGTACTATGAAGAACAATAATGGTGGGATGCTTTTAGATGGCCGTTCAGAGAAGGCCTTTCTGCGAAGGTAGAATTTGAATAGAAAATAAAGAATGAAAATATCTGGAAAAATGTGGCGGTGTCCCTAGTTTTTGTACAGCTAACACACATATGAAAATATTTGTTTAGGAAAGCACAGTTAAAGTGTAAATGTGGCTTTTGCTCCCTCCTGAATTCATTATATATCAATTCTTTGTGAAAATAAGATATGACTAGGAAAATTGCACCCTGAAGCTATTTTTATTTTGGTTTTACATATACATCAAAAGAACTTGTATATAATAATTGATATTTAGATATGCCATAAAATATTATTCTAGCAATAGAAAAATCATGTAGGATTGCTGAAAATATTTTTTTTTACATTAGTGGGGTACTAACCTCCACACTGAAAAACAAATATATTTTTGGTGAACAAACATAGAAAATGACCTACCTGTAAAAACTGACTTACCCTATTTTGTAAGAGCGTGGTGGGAAATTTTATAATGTATTCCTTAGGTACATTCTCTAGAGTATTTATAAAATATTTCTGAAGCACCAATTAAAATAGTCATTTTTTTTCCTCAAGGGTATAACCTTAACTTGGGGCTTTGAGATCCTAGATTCTCCTTTGAGGCCAAAATCTCTAAGATCTGTGTACACTGCTTGGAACTGAGCTCATAACAATCTTTAGCACAGGTAGGAAAATTAGCCATCACAAGTAATACTATGAAAGGAGCAAAATATGGGTAGATAAGTTTTGTATTTTTAATAAAGACAAGAGGATTCTCATCAGAAGGCTTTGACGTTTCTAAACACTGAGGTGAGGTCATCTCATGAAAGCAAGGGAAAGGAAGGTGAAATCCGTGAGAAAGTGGGGAAGAGAAGGAGTGTGGAGAGTAGAAGAGTCACATATCTGAGGGAAGGAAGTGGAGGCACTGGTCAGGGGTGAAGGCCCTTTGGAAGGTGAATATTATGGATTTATACTGGAACCAGTCTGTCCCATTAAGCTAATGTCATCAACATGCTAGGAATTAAAGTGGGTCTGAGAGCCAGGATCATTCATAAAATTGATGATTTAAGAGGAAGTTTGATAGTAGAATAAAGACTATTTGACCATTGTTTGGAGCTGCATTTGTTAGAGAATAAAGCACCCGAAAGATGCTTCCCCTGGTCTGAATCTTCCAGTGCACTGGTCCTCCCAGGTCAATACAATCAGAGGGTTGACCAACACAAGTATGGGACCAAATCACGTGATCAGAACTCTGCACTTAAGAAGTTGATATTCATTTATTTATATAGCAAAGGAGAAGATTAAAGAGCTTTACCAAGATGTGTGATGCTAATTCAAAGATTTTTATGCATTCTTATTTTAATTTCCTAGAAATTAATAATTATAGGATACTTAAAGACATCAATTCCTTAGCTCAATTTCAATGATCAATTGATGTGTGTCTGCTAAAAAAAGAAGAAAAAAAACAAAACAAAACAGGGCACAATGTCCTAATAGCTTTTTTATACTGTAGATAACACAAGTTTGAAAAAGGAATCCACAAATTGCCTCATATGGGAAAATACCTAACTCATCTACTAATATAGTTAACACCAGTGTTAACATTCTTGTTGAGGTGTAAGCAGCATGTAGCATCACTGCCCAAAGGAGGAGTTTGTAAATAAAATGAGCAGTGGATAGGCAAGGAATGCAATTTTTCTGAGTAAATGTACAGTGGATTGTAGAGCAAAATTTCTCCTGACAACTCATAACCCCACCCTCATCTCCAACATACACACACATGCACAAATGCCTGGATAACCCACACACATACACACTGTGGATGAAAAAGAGGGTCTATAAGAAAACTGACTAGTTCAGTGACAGAAAGAAACATCACAGGATGATCTGATTATAATATCTTAACTGGGCAGGCCATGATTTGTCACAGCCCAGGCATACAACTTCTACGGGAAATGCTTTCTCTTCGCCTTAGCAGGCCTTGCCCATTGTTGAGCGCAGCCAGGTTAACACACCTTAGAGATGCCGGAGCGATTCTCCTGTTCACAGCCCTGGGAAGTGTAACAACTCTCTGGGGGTCACATAACCTTCCTGAGTCTGTGCCTGCCTTCCTTCCACTTTCATGTAATCTTTCGTATGTTCCCTCTTTAATTCCAAATGTATAAACAAAGCAAAACTGTCATTTGCTAGAGCATGTGCCATTTTGCTTCATGGAAATGTCATCAGTTTGGCTAAAATAAACTCATAAAAATTCTCTAGGGGCTTGGATATTCTTAGTTGGCGACACGATAAACATTTAAACCATTTCAGGCCACACCTGTCCTTTCCAAAGAGATGCAGCCTTGACTGAAATGCAGTCATCCTAAAAGTATGTAAATCTGAGGCATGATGTGGAAAGTCTGTGAGAGACGATAAGTGGACCCATAATATGAGACAGGACATAAAAGGAAAGGGGGGGGGGAGGGAAGAAGGGAGGGAGGAGAAGGAGGGAGGGAGAGAGAGACGGAGAGAGGGGGAGACCTGGCGGCACTGAGAAGTCCAGGCTTATGCTAGTTTGAATTAACTATTTATTCCATCATGGAAAAAGTCCTGAATACTCTATTATTATATGTTAAAAATCCCAATTATGTAAAATGACAGACATAGAACACTGAAATATCATCTGTTTATTAAAATTTTAGTTTCAAAGAAGGTAAGACAGCTTGTTTTAAAAAGAATAAAACATTATCTAACAGATGACCCAACCAGGTATAAGAGAACTTTTCTAGAATTGACTTTTTGAAATTATGGTTATTGGGCACTTGACAGTTCAGATGCCAGAAGCAACAGTTTGCCTTCCATCACCCTGCACCTTCCATTGGGGTGATCCTTTCTTAATTTAAGAGCTTTTATTGATGGTTTATTATGGAGCCGTGGAGATGTGAAAGCAGATATAAAGAGGTTCCTTCCCTCAAGGAGCTCTCAGTCCATGTCAGGAAACATTACACTGTGTTTTATTACATATATCTGTGAGCAAGAACTTGATTAACGTTGTAATATCTATAGAATCACAGAAACGGGCATGGGTCTGCTTTGGGAGGGAAGACAGAGGGTCAGGAGAATCACAGAGGAGATACTGTGTGTGCTGTGTCTTAAAATATGAAGAGGCCTCCTGAAAAAAAATGATGAGATGAACAAGAATCACCTGATAAGCAAGAATATTATGTTTTTAATATGCAATGTCTGAAAAGCAGAATAAGGGAAGGTTAAATGATAAGATCGTAACAAAAACCATAGGCAGTAACAAAGCAAAATTATTACTTAGTCTCTTTTAAGTGGCTGCTTTTGTACTAAGATGTATTAGTCTTCCAGTGGCAAAGGGATATGCTAGAATCACACCTAGTATTATACCCAACCCCAGCCAGTTTAAAACATTTTCTTTTGACATGTCAGTGGTCACTTTCTGTAAAGAAAATCCAGGCCTACTGGAGAGACCACCAACTATGAAAATACTAGTTAAACCAGTTGAAAGCTTTAAAGTTGTCTCAATTAAATTGCAGCTAGTGGTAAAATAAATATGTGTGGTTATTTGCTAAAGAACTTGCCCTCGCTCTTTAGGTTTAAACGGCCTACTCATCCAAAGGTCAAACAACACAACACTTTATCGTCAGGAATTATAAAAAGTACCTCTTTTCTAAGTCCCAGGAGCTTCTGCTGCATGAGCCTTGGTGTTCTTGTTCTGTGATTTCCCCTTATATTTTATAGTTTGTTTCCCTCAGGGGTCTGCATTACTTGCCCGGGTTAAAAACACTTGACCTCAGCACCTCTATGGGGATTAAGTTCTGATATTTCTTTCTGGTTCACTGGGGACAGGAGGCAGTCTCTAAGCCTAGTTTTTGTCCAGCCGGCCCTTGTCGCCTGTCCTCTGGCAGTTACAAAGGCCACTGTCCAATCACGGGGCCATCAAAGAGGGAAGAGATGGAGTCATTCCTCCTGTCCCTCAGTCTTTCTCTGCCCCACCTTCTTTTATACTGGGCTTTATACCTCTGAATGCAGATATTAGGTTATTTTCAAGCATATAGGTTCTGTGAAAGAAGTGGAATTTATACAGGGTCCTCATGTTCCCTGTGATGCCTGACACATCTGGTCCAACTCCACTATCAGAAATAACAAACAAACAAACAAACAAACAAACCAAAAAAGCCTCATTACCGAATGGAATGGAGCCGGAGTGAATGAAGCTGGGCCTGGTCCCGCCTCCATCCCCTCACTGCGCTGAAATCCCATGCTTTGTGATTCTAAGCACAGAAGCAAAAAGAGGGTGTTTTAAAAATGTTGCCTAAAGAAGCTTTGACCTCTTTGTTCCTCAGACTGTAGATGAGAGGATTTAACATGGGAATGACCAACGTATAAAACACAGACACCACTTTGTCCTGATCCATTGAGTAGCTGGAGCTGGGGCGCAGATACATGAACAGGATGGTGCCAAAGAAGATGGTGACAGCCATCAGGTGGGACGCGCAGGTGGAGAAGGCCCTGTGCCTCCCCTCGGCCGAACGGATCCTCAAGATGGCAACTAGGATGTGGAGATAGGAGACGAGAATGGCCAGAAGGCAGCTCAGTTCATTCAAACTGGCAAAAGCAAAAATGACCACCTCATTGACACGCGTGTCGGAACAAGAGAGCTTCAGGAGGGGTGGAGTGTCACAGAAAAAGTGGTTGATGACATTTGAGTGGCAGAAGGACAGTTGGAAGGTGAAGCCAGTGTGGATGGAGGCATTCACAAAGCCTGCAAGATATGTGGCCAGTACCAGAAGGACATTAAGATGGGGGGACATCGTGGCTGTGTAAAGGAGAGGCTTGCAGATGGCCACGTACCGGTCATAGGCCATCACAGCCAGCAGGAAGCCTTCGATGCCAGCAAAGGAACCAAAAAAGAAGAACTGCGCGGCACATTCATTAAACGAAATGACGGGGCTCTCCACCCAGAAATTCACCAGCATCTTAGGGGCAATGACAGAAGAATAACAGAAGTCCACAAGGGACAAGTTACTGAGAAAAAAGTACATCGGGGTGTGGAGCCGTGAGTTTATCTTGATTAATAGGATCATGCCAAGATTTCCAAACACTGTGACGATATAGGCGACTAGAAACACCATGAAGAGAAGGCACTGTAGCTCTGGATGGTTGCTGAATCCCAGCAGAATAAATTCAGTCACTGTTGAGTGGTTGCTCATGCCTCTGTATCAGAACGAATGTCTCATTTGCTGGCCTAAGGAAGAAATCAAGGAAATCAATTGTACAAGAAAATACCAGGAAAACCAAAGAGCTCATTCTCTGCTGTACATAAGATTGCTTCTAAGATGTCTTGAGAACATATGCATTAAACCTCTTTATTGTCTTACTGCAGTAAAAAAAAAAAAAAAAAGTTTCCTTAAGTAAATTCAGTAACCTATTTTATTTACTATTTAACGAGCGTGTGCATGTGTGTGTGTGTCAAGTCTTCGATGACCGACCCCTATTTGTCTATTCCCTTCCCTACCTCCAAACTGCTCTCCTCCCCCTGATCCTTCTGTCTTCGCCAGCTGCCATCCAATTCCTTTGTACTCTCCTTGGCAACTAAAAATATGATACAGTTGAATGTACTTACTGTACCCATTCCTTTTTTCCTGTTTTCTGTTAAGCCCACTCAAGTCAGGCTTTAACCGCATTGCTCCAGGAGAACTGCTCTTGTCCAAGTCATCAGGAATCTTTATTCTGCCAAGCCCCGTGGTCTGTTCTCAGTTCTCACCTTTTTAATTCAGCAGTAACACTTGACAGAGTTCATTGTTTACTACCCCTTGAAAGAGCTTCTCTTACCTTTCGGAACACCTCGTCTCTCCGGCTCCTAAGGTGGGGGTACCACAGAGCTCAGCCCCGAGCCTCCTTCCTTTCCTAGTTACACTTCACCTCGGTGGTCTACTCAGTCTCATGGCTTTTTAAATCATCTGTATAATTACAGCACCTAAATTTTTACTTCCAGCCCTCTTGTCCAAACACCACTCTTATAATCAACTCTTCCTCACATATCTGCATTAACATAGAACAGCCATTCAACATGACCCAAAACTGAATTCTTCATGTTCTCTCTTCATTTGTTCCAAACACAGCATTTCCTATCTCAAGTCAAGGACAACTCTATACTTCCATTTGCTCAAATGAAGACAAATAAATATTGGAAAAATTAATCTCTTCTCTTTCTCACACATTCCATAACCATTCTATCAAATAATTACCTTGGCTCTATTTTCAAAATATATTAATGAGCCAATTACCTCCCATCACCTTTATTACTACCACCAAGGCCTAAGCCAACATCGTCTTTTATCTAGATTATTGCAATAGTCTCTTAACTGATCTTTCTGTCTCTGAAATCAGCTAAATTCTTCTTTCTAAAATAACCACTTTTAAAATTTTGAAGCCATTTCCTAGAGCTCTGCTTCATATATATATACACACAAATACTTGTTACATATGTAACAAACATATAAATTGACATAAACAGGGTGTTTTGGTACTCTTTCTACACAAAATTAATTAAATTTCCTTGTGCACACACATATAGACACATAGATATACAAGTATACATGCACTCATGCGTGCATGTGTATGCATATATTCAATATTCTATAAAATTTTCATCTCTTACCAATGATCCTAAATGCCTTTCTTCTAAAAAAAGTTCACTCTCATTCAGTTGATAAAAATAAATTCGGTGTTTCAGACATATTACAATTGAGATGTTTAGTCTTAATTACTCTAATATGTTTGAGTCCTCCTGGAAAAGTCCTACATCTGAGTACTTGGACAGAAATTAAATCATCTTACCTTTTGTCCTTAAGAAATAGTCACTGGAAGTAGTAGTGGTTATTAGTTTATTTTTGTTTTATTTTTTGGTTTGTTTTTTGGATGAATACACGTTTTTATTTTCTGTCTCCTACCATGAAGTTTACAGCTTTGATTAAAATGGAAGTAGCATAAAAGACTCAGCTATGATAGAATTAAGAGATGAATTCAACAAAGAGTAGAAAATGCTGCTACTGAATCCAAAGCCAGCCTTATTAAGGCTGTGATCAGTCTCGTGAGATTCAGTCTCTGCAAAAGTCTAAGGCTAGAAATGTGCTGATCCAAAATTAAAGCATGCATTTATTTTTCACTGAGACAATTGAACTGCATTCTCCCCAGTGGATCACGCATACCCTGGAGGGTAACTTAGGCATTTAGAGCAGTGCAAAAACTACTTGATGGTCCTGTGATTCCACTGAGCACAATAAAATGATAGATAACTGACCAGATCCTGCCTCCAAACCTCAGAATTCCATTCAAAATGTGATCTCTACTTATTTCTACTAGAATATGGCTCTCATTGCACTCATGAACTGATTCATTCAACAAAATATAGTGAATTTGTTTAATGGAACAGACAATATCTTTGGTACTAACAGGATAGCCAACAAAATCAGTCTTGTCACTTCCTCATGCAGTTTGCAGATGCAGTTGAGAGAGAACAGCTATCACAGTGTGATATGAAAGAATAAAGCCTAAAGCCTATGGCCTATAAGGCTTATGTGACCTGCTGCCCCTTCACAACACTTTCTGATTTCAGGTTTTTTCCTCCTATCATTTGTTCACTCTGGTCCACATATATTTGTCTCCTTACAATTCCGTTAGCAAACTAAGCAGAATGTTGCCTCAGGACCTTTGTATTTACTGTAGCCTACCTGGAATGCTCTCTCACAGATATTCACGTGATGTCATCCCTATGTAGGTATTGAGCAAATGTTATTTCCACGTGGAGCTCTTCTCTGACTCCACCATTCCCTATTCTATTGCCTGCTTTATTTGTCTTCAAAGTACCATTCATATCCACATCAAATACACACACACACACACACACACACACACACGTACACACACCTGTGCATACATGCNCCTATTCTATTGCCTGCTTTATTTGTCTTCAAAGTACCATTCATATCCACGTCAAATACACACACACACACACACACACACGTACACACACCTGTGCATACATGCACACACATTTGGTATAGACAATAAAGTCCCCCTTATTTAAATATGTTTCATGAGATGAAGAACTTTGAGTTTTCTTACCTGCTTTATCTCCATTATGCTACATTCTAGTTTTTTTATTAACAGATTTTTAAACATATTTATTGATGTATGCATATGTTCAAATTCATCAAATTATATATATTAAATATGTGCAGGTTTTTTGTATATAAGCAGATAGTTTTTTAATGTATTATGAGTAAATAAAGATATAAAGGGTGTCTGTTCTCTTGCTCCAAATGCAAACTAAGAATGTATGACAGAAAATATCATTTATAACTTAACATGGAAAGGATATTTTAAGCCCAAGAATACAAAAGTATGATCCTAAGATGCAGTTCCTCCTCATAGTACAAAAATTGTGATTGTTTTATAGATGTCTGAGTGGCTAATTTATTAATCTTTTAATGTGTCCAAAATCCCTAAATGCCAGGTTATCAATTCAATCTACAAATCTGGAACTTGGGTTAGAGGTCAGGGCTGGAGATGTGGATTTTAGAATCATGGCAGACTTCTTACATCACCTAAGAAGTAGATACAGGTGAAGAACCAATGAAGCAATGGAAAGGAATAAGTCTTTGGCTCCAAGACCTGGAGGCCAGCAAAAACAGGAGGAAAAGCCATAAGTTATCTGAGAAGAAGTGGCGATAGACAGAGACAAAACCAAAAGACTGATGTAATACAGAAACCTGGAAAGGAGTGTTTTGAAGATAGCTGGAGGAATTAACTATGGAAAATCCTCCTGAGATAGCTAGTAAAAATAAGATAGAAGAATGTCTTTGGAAGCAGTAGTGTTAAAGTCTTAGATGTTCTTGACAAGATTAGGTTTAATGGAGCAGGGTTACAGACATACAATTGGAACATATCGTGGGCTATGGGAAAGTGGGGATAACGACTAGAGGTAGTACTTTTGAAAAGTACAATTATAAAGGGATCCAAGAAATAAGTTGGTGACTGGATGGGACTTCAGGCTAGGAAATTATTAAGAAGAGTGACAATAGATGATGTTTGTAAACAAATAGCAATATTTCAGTAGAGTTTGAGAAACTGACACTTGGGGAGAGTAGAAATGTAATTTCCCAAGTAAAGTTTATGAAGAGCTCCAAAAATGTGGAAGAACTGGTCTTTGGTAGAAGGAGAGGCGCCCCACTCATTCTGACAGGTGGGAAGACAGGTATATGTATAAACGTTTAGAGGTAGTAAGACGAGCATGATCTTGCCTAAATGTTTATATTTTGGAAGATGAAACATGAGGCAAGGTCAGCAACAGAGAGTGAATGTTGAGTGGTTTTCCCCAGCCACCTAAGCAGCTTAGGTGTAGGACAGAGGAGGAAACAATAACTTAACCAAGTTGGGGTTTAGTCAAATGAGCAGCATGGAGAGAAGGTGGAGCCATAAAATTGAGGGTGATTGAGAGTGAGTTGTTATATGGTGCGCATTGGACACGCCATGGGACAACAATAAAATGTGGACGGGAGAGTAGTGTTAAATAATGATAAAGAATCACTTTTCTAGATTAGTGAATAAGAAACAGTTAAAGGACGGATATTATATAGATGAGTTAGAAAAAAATAAACATGAAGGAGGATACCAACCATGATGCAGCTTTGACTGTCTTTGAGGGAAATCTAAATTAATAGTCCAAAGGGGAAGTTGTAGAGAGATGGGAGGACTGCCAAGAGTGGGCAGAGTGAGTTAACTCTTCCTTTGTGGCCTCTAACAAATTTTTCAGGGGTGAGGTAGTCTCACTTGGAGTATGTGGAGCACTGATGTTCTCCTTCCTGGTCTGCAGTGAATAATGGAACGTAAAGAAATAGGAAACAGACACTTACCTGATTCCAAATCATTATTTAGGCCCCCTTCAACACGTCATCTCATGGAAAAAGGTTGTTTCCCCATTGCTCCAACATTGACATCTCCCCACCCCACCACAGTGAACAATAAGATCATTTAATTTGATAAATGTTTATTGAAAACTCTGTAAAATTGGGGGAGGGATAGAGATAAAAAGTTAAAATACATTGATTACTACCCTCAAAATATTCCAATAATTGCACAAAGTCAATAAAATATTCCCCCATTATTGCTGTTGTAGCCATATTTTTATAACACCTGATAAGATGCT